TGACGTACGCACAAGGAACAAGACGCCCCTATCGCGTTCAACTTTTAAAGGCGAAGCTTAAATGTCCTCTAATTTTATTACTGGGTAAAGAGTGGGGCACCCTATACGCGAGTTTCTTCAGGGGGACCGAAAGTTTAGGCTTTGTGTTTGGAATATGTCTGCATCGGGCAGGGGGGCAAAGTAGGGGCAGGCGAAATTTCGGGGGGCTTCTCTCTGCCCCCTGCTGGCGCTGCCGATGTTGCGCGCGTTGACCGTGTTTGAGTGCAGCTGCACAGGCTTCATACTGAATATTTTAGATGCTAAGCTGCTCTTTGACTAGCCTGTGTAACGCTGCCCTTCCGTCCGCGCCGCGCTCCCTTAGCCACAGGTGTTGGGGCGGTGCCAAGTAGGTTAAGCCTTCACTCGCAGTTCGCGCGCGTTGACGTCACTCTCTCCATAGCCTGTCACCGCTCACCGCGTGTCACCTCTCGCGCTTCACCCTCTCCACCACTCGCAACATTCGAGCGCACATTGAGTGAACAGTCTTTCTGCGATGAAACTTACAGGAAACCCAACCCACCTCCCATGTTTTTGCGTTTCAAACAAACGTTCACTCGAGTAAACGCGACACCAAGTTTTGCTTCAAACCGTTCCTCCAGCACCCTCGTCGACGCCCGTTTCCACCGGGTCAACGCCGTGCGCACCGCTGCTGCTTCGCGTTTTATCAGGGTTTTCTTCGGGGAGATGGTCCATATTTTTTTTTAATTTTGTGGTTGATTAGCAGACGCTCATACTTGTTTTTTTTAATCTGTTTATTCTTTGACCTCAGACTTTGTGTGAGCAATATTAGATATGTGTTTTTAGCATGGGATGCTGTTGAGTGTTTCTTTGAGTCCTGCTTTAGCCGTGCTGGCGAACAACTGGTGCAATTCTACGGCGTAATAAGATATGTGCACGCTCGTTATACATGTATTTATGTACTCAGTATAACTACTCGTAAATTATTTTTATTGTACCCGCAACTCAAGCCGTCTAGTACCACATTCGTCCACGAGTATAACCTAATATTTAAATATATATATATATATATATTGCTAAGATAACGGTGTGGATACATTTACTACAAAGCCAAGCGATTTACGCCAGTATTAATTCGCGAAAAAAATAAACATTAGGTAAACTAGCTCAAATGCGGAAAAAAAATACGTGAACAATGAGGTTTGCTTATATTCGACACAGTTGGGCTTGAAAGGTGAGAGTGACGTCCCTACGATTGCTACCCTGACGAAATGGCAATAAACAATTAGTCTATCAGCAGGACACAAACCTCCAATTACACACCATGTTAAGTGGCTGTGTGGAGAAGCGTCAATCCGCTCAGAACATCGCTCACCCTCCGTAATTCACTCATAGAAGCAGTAGTTTATTTTAAACACACCGAGGAGTTCCCTAAACCACGTTCATTCCCGGACATAGCGTCATTCACTCAACGCTGCATAAGAACCTCCGGTCATACCATTGTAAACAAGATATCTGTACGGATGCCGAAACGTCATTATTGTTTTGTTTCGACATTGGTCAGTGGCCTGTTTTTCAGCACGTGGTGTACTCTCGTTAGCAAATCTGGTATCAAGTTTGTAAGCGTGCCAAGCGTGTACCTCAGGGACAAAGAGACGAAGAGATGCACTTTTTGTATGTTCACCCACAAGCGTCTTTGGTTGTTAACGTGTATGAAAACGGGCTTGGTACTTTTCAATAAATCATTTGGTAGACAGTGCTAGTCTGCGTCATTCACGTAGTGCCGAAGTGTTATTGTCAGTTCGCTATTGTGCGGTGAAACGAGTAAAAGGCATGTCCTGCGGGCTTCTCAAGGCCAGCCACGGGATGGCAGCATGTGTGTTCGCTCACCTTTTAGAACTTCTCTGCTCATTTTGCATGAACCACTGGAAGTCCGACTTGAAGAAGCCCTTGTGCAAGCATTTATCTTCATGGCAATTCGGCACACCAGTGAATGACCATACTGCAATCAAACTGCCTTTGTCTCAAACAGCCGGATTGCGACGTGGCGCAATAATCAGCTAGCTTCAAATACATAGCGTAGTTCCTTGATGGATGAGGTCTGGCGCAAGATGTAATTCAAAGGCTTCGGCGCTTGTCGCGGTGCGACATTCGCAGCTCCATGAAACGCTTCGTGCGCAGGCAGCACTCATAAAAAAAAAAACAAAGATGGATACGCTTAACAAGGTCAATGCGGCACTTTCGCTTGGCGTGGCGCTGCAGTTTCTTTATTGTGGCGTCGCAAAGTGTTGCTTCGTCGAACACAAAACGGTACTGGCCGTCGATTGTCATACAGGATTTCACTGGCAAAACAACGGAAATAGTTGCACTGAGAGTGCAAACATCGGGCCTCTCTGGCGAGCTGCATCAGATTTACTTAAGGTTCATGAACCTGTCCAGCAAGCCAGAGGTTGAAAAAGGCAACTCTTTCTGTGTAGCGGGTCTACCCGAAAGGTGCAAGCTTTTGTGCACTGCGTTGTGCAGGCAAGACATTAACAATTTTCGAGGCGACTTACTGATTGATTAGTGGGGTTTAGCGTCCCAAAACTACCATATGATTATGAGAGACGCCGTAGTGGAGGGCTCCGGAAATTTCGACCACCTGGGGTTCTTTAACCCGCACCCATATCTGAGTACATGGGCCTACAACATTTTCGCCTCCATCGGAAATGCAGCCGCCACAGCCGGGATTTGATCCCGTGACCTGCGGTCAGCAGCCGAGTACCTTAGCCACTAGACCACCGTGGCGAGGCTCGAGGCCACTTACTTTGCGCTGTCATTCGTGCTGCCAACTGCATGTATCCCACTGAGTTCTGTTGTCTCGTCAAAAGCTGTATATGCATGCCGCTCACTTGATTACAGAACGGAGCTAAGCCTGGGTCAGTGAATCTCGAGTTGAGGCAAATCGTATTTCAGATTGAAAGAGGCTCTAGGGCTTCTTTCTTTTTGTTCGCCGAACCATGTGTAATAAATAAGGTCATGTCCTACCGAACACTCGCTTGTTCGTGTTGGCAGTACTTCATATTCAAAGCAGATATGACAGCGCGTTTCGGAAGAGGCGACGCAAAACTTTGCGTTAGTGTTTGGCACCACGAAGCATGCGTCGGGCGCTAACCACTTGCGGGCTCCCATCAAGTGACGGAAATAGCGACCAATGTAAGCTAACTTAGCCTAGGCTGTTTGAAAACTTTCTTAGATACCCACATGCAGGAACATGTATACAGGCACGCTCGCTAAGCTGGCGTGAAAATAAGTACAGAGTGGTTCAACCCTACTCCGACCCGAAAAATGTGAGGCTATGGTGAAAATATTATACAGTATAAACTCATAACTATTCAAAGTGAATAAGTTTTAATCAGCCCTGTTATGTTCTTTTGGTTATTCAGCGGAATGGTGATAGATGCATGAGATCAAAATAAAGCATGTTTCAACATAAGTTGTCGGAAAGGAACCAAGCGATTCAACCAAGAGTTGAACGCTCCAAAAGGTGGGACTCTTAACTTTCTCGCGAGCTGACGAACTTGATCCGCCAAAACGCCGCATCTAATGAAAACACAGCACCCTCTGTAAAGACTGCAGAGCAAACACAGGCATAAATACCGTACGCTTATTCACAATAAATATACTTCAGGTTTGACTAATACAGTTCACGCAGAAGAAACGCACGGCCGGGACAGGGGCGTCGCGAACGATTTTGCCGGAGATTGAGGTGCACCCATCCTTTACGTATATTCGCACGCTCACATATATACAGATGCGAAATAAAAAATTCCGGAGGAAGAATTACAGCAGCTTAATTTGAGAATGGGTAAGCACTAGGAAAACAACAATACGTGAACAATAAGGACATAATGCAACAAACTTTCTAAAGCGCTTACTTATATAAACGAAACCATACACCACGCTTACAAAGGCCGAAAATTGACCAGACTTCACACACGTAAATGATGGCACATTAGCAGGGAAGAATGACGTCGTCGCGAGGGAATTGATTATAACAAACCACTACCGTGTCCATCGCCTTTATTCCGATGCACCCCGCCGCAGTGGTCTATAGTGGCTAAGGCACTCAGCTGCTGACCCGCACGTCACGGGATCAAATCTTGGCTGTGGTGGCCACATTGGAAACGCTTTAGGCCCGTGTGCTCAGATTTGTGTGCACGTTAAAGACCCCCGGGTGGTGTAAATTTTTGAAGCCCCCAACTACGGCGTCTCCCATAATCATATGGTGGTTTTGAGACGTTAATCCCCAAAAAATCAATCAATCGTTTATTCCGATGCATGCGTCAGTTTCTGATCAATGCCATACTCCATCGCGCATCCTCTACATCATTCGAAAAGAGATAGAACGACACGTTGCCATCACTCCACCGGCTCATGGCGGCTCACAGAAATTGTCATTGGATATCGCTTTCTTCCTTTTTTTTTTTGGGGGGGGGGGGGGGGGGGTTCGCGCATTCGGTATGGCGAGAATAAAGTAACTATGTGCACGCTTGTCAAACACGCGCAACGTGGTAACATATCTTCTCTCAAGTTCGACCCTGTTAGCGTCGTTTCTAGGCGCGGCCGCTAGGTGGCGAGCACTCAGTTGGAATTGCGAATAGCGTTTAAAATGGCTGTACGCACGAAGAAGACGTAAATACAAAATTGTTTTAATTGTGACGCTGCAACTTATTAATTATAGGTTGCTTGTCATTGTATCTTGTCGTAAACGTTATTATCCCGTGAATAGCGGTTAGCGAGCCTTGCTACGCTCGTAGTCATGGGTGAATGTACGCTGCTGCGGTGTTTGTCTCTCGCCAAGGCTTAGCAATATTAACCTTGTACAGAGAAGCATGCCTGTGTCTGCTTTGTGCCGAGTCTTTGCAGCGTGCTTGCCGAGGGCGGAGCCTGCGTTCGCCACATAAATTGTCGCACGCCGAATGGCACCATCTGCAGTCCAAAATAGCAAGCTCTCTTCGCAGGCACCCAGCTCTATGAAGTCGGTCCTCCAAGCTGCTTGGCTGCTCACTGTGGCCGTGGGTAATCTCATTGTGGTCATCATTGCGGAGGCGAGATTCTTCTCGGTGGCGGTAAGTGCCGTTTCACATGCAGGCTGTACGGAGAAACTGCTACGGAAGAGTGTTTTCAATGACCCTGTTACACAATACCTTACTCTGTTTCCCCTTGGAATAATGCATCCTGCATGATTATGCAGCTGAGCCTATGAACCAAGGCATTAGGAATATTGCAATTTGAAAGTTGACAACTCTTATCAGGCAAGATAGTGAGTCCGTGAATAAAACCACAGCAATTTTTACTTGGTAAAAATTGCTCAAAACTTGTTCGAACACATTAGACACTTTAAATACTGCCACTTTAACCAGGATGTATAATTATGCAGGTTGTATTGTAACGCGTACTTGTCTTCTTTTCATCGTGCCACCTGAGAGTGCTCTTGCTTGGCGCTGGTCAGGCCAGAAATGATTGCAACCTCCACGATGATTTTCAGATGCTGCGTTCTGACGACGCGCTTGGTTTATATTCGAACCAGTGACGAGGCTGAAATGTTTTGTGACGCATGTATAAAAGCCATTTAACCTATGGTGAAATTATCTGCAATGATGTTCGTCACTGTCATGGTATTACGAGCGTTTCCGCCTGACTATGGAAGTGAACCTTTCTTTAGAGACGTTTTCAGGCTCTGTTCAGCAGCTAAGCGGAGCGAGAGTGTACATGTGCCCTCCGCCTATCCGCGAGCGGGCCACTGAATGTAGCGAAAATTTATTTACGTGCTGTACAATTTCTGCAGTGAATCTCCGGATAGTTGGACGTTTTTGGCTTGTGGTGGGAATCCCTCAGTCCGTGGCTTGACTTGAAGCTGCCGTTCTGCGGGCCCGGTCATTCAGACTCATCTTTTTGGTTCTTGCTGGCCAACAGAACTTTCCATTGGGATTTTTATTGGTCGAAATGGCCTCACGTGGTCACGTGATATAGTAGATTTAGTTGAGCCCCAGGGGCAGTGAGCACAGTACGCCGATTGATGCATATTATGCCATCTCGGACTCGTCGTTCTGAAGAGAGAACTCTTGCTTGCGGCATGGTGTTCAGCGACGTAGCAGAGCCAGTGCTTTCGGTCACAAGCAGCGTGGTGGTTGTGGCGTCGTCATCTGATATCTGCACAGTGTTGTCGGCGTGTCAAGTAGAGCCTGCTCAGCTGATGATATTGCCTTTGTGAGCCTACCAGTGGCGAACGCTGTGACGGCAATAACGACGTGCCCGTAATTCGCCCAGATGAGCGTTCTCTTGTTGACGACAGGTTCAATCCGCACGTCGGCCATTTCAGAAGCTTCGGCTCAGCTCCGACACAGCTTCTACTAGCAAATGGACTTTCGCTGTAGCCACGTGGTTCCTTCTGTTCCGGTTTTCCTCCGGCAACGAGTTTAAGGTTCAGCTCGAGTGCTTGTCCTATGCCTCAGAGGGCCAGAAATGCCGGATCCGTACACATCTGAGCCGGAGGGCAGAGGTGATACCATTATTCAGAGTGGAAACAAGCCGGTTTGAAATTATCGGCCGCTCACCGATTCATCTTTCTTTAGTGTTTGGTGGCACCCGCTATGATGGCAGCGTAATAGTCGCACGGCACGGGAACCGCTTCCCCAGAAGTCGAGTGTAAGGGTGCTGAGGCTTGCATACCCGTATCCCATTGTGCACCTCCAGGCTGAACTGGAATGTGTTTGAATGATCGCCTGTTGGAGCTTATCAACAATGCTATTCTGCAATTTTTATTTTCAGCAGTGATATTTTCATTGGGAGGAGCATTTTATATTGCATATTGGGCGTCAACCAACAGCGTCGTTTTAAAATGTGTTCCCTCATGTCAATTGAACGAACATGCAGTGCTTTTTTCTCTCTCGTTTTTTTTTCCTCTTTTTTTCTTGCGGCGCCCATTTGAAAAACCGGAGTTTGTGGCGGAAACCAGCAACCACCCAAAGAATTTGGTGTGTGGTGGCGTGTGCCATCAACAATACTTCTTTTTCCAAAGCATTTCTGGATGATGCCAGCGTGGCCACACGGCGATAGGAAGGTCTTTTTGCGTTTCCTTTCGCATTTCTTGTTGTGTTCGTTCTTCTTTCTGCTTTTTCTATGTTTCTAAGAACCACTAAATCTTCAATTGGAAGTAAGCGCTTCTCTTCATTGTTTATGTGTTCCCCTCCTGCTTCACGCTAGGCCAATTTAGCAAAACTGAAAACCAACTAGCCTGAACCGTTAGTCTACTAAGTAGAAGGTGGTTGGAAGTAAGCACCGCCATTACAGTGGGAGCAGAGAATTCAGGAGCCTCACTTTCTTTTTTAGTCAGAGACACATGCTGAGTACTGTAAATAAAAGCATACTTTTTTCAATCCGTTTGTTTATGGTTCCAGCGCTTCGCTTGAACTATGCTACTTCTAGCATAGCTATTGTTACCGCCAATTATCCCAATTTTGGTGTACTCTACATGTTACTCTTGCTCTCATACACACTCACAGCCCCAAGCGAGTGCTGGCAACTCTCTTTGCAGAAAGAGAGGCTTGTCCCATATTTCACTCTCTTTTCAGAAGTGCTTGGAACTCTCTGCTGCACAGAGTAGACACACTCTCTCGACAGAGTTCCGGTACTCTGGCTGAATGAGAGTGAACAAGCTTTCATCTCGCCATAGTACAGCCCAGGGGCGCAGCCAGGGGGTGGCACGCTGGGCACGTGCCCATCCCTCCCCTTCCCAGAAAGTTTTTTTTTCGACATGGCATCATCATGATCATCATCATCATGAGCCTGACTACGTCCACTGCAGCAAAAAGGTCTCTCCTATGTTACGCTAGTTAACTTGGTCCTGTGCTTGCTGCTACTAATTCACACCCGCAAACTTCTTAATCTCATCTGCCCACCTAACCTTCTGTCTCCCCCTAACTCACTTGCCTTGTCTGGGAATCCAGTTAGTTACCCTTAATGACCAGCGGTTATCCTGACTACGCGCTATATGCCCGGCCCATGTCCATTTCCTCTTTTTGATTTCAACTATAATACCCTTAACCCCCATTTGTTCCTTAATCCACTCTGCTCTCTTCTTATCTCTTATGGTTACACCTACCATTTTTATTTCCATTACTCGCTGCATCGTCCTCAATTGAAGCTGAACCCTCTTTGTAAGTACCTGAGGTTTCTGTTCTGTAGCTAAGTACCGGCAAGATGGAGCTGTTATATACCTTCCTCTTGAAGGATAGTGGTAATCTAGCAGTCATGATTTGAGAGTGCTTGCCAAATGTGCTCCACCCCATTCTTATTCTTCTAGTTACTGTCCTAAGTAGACATAGTATTTTAAAACTTCAAGTGCCCTATTACCTATCTCGAAGCGCTGCTCTCTTCCAAGGTGGTTGTACATTACTCTCGTTTTCTGCAGTTTATTTAAAGACCCACCTTTCTGCTCTCCTTGTCTAACTCCGTAATCATGAGTTGCGATTCGTCCCCTCAGTTACTCAGCAATGCAATGTCATCGGCGAAGCGCATGTTACTAAGGTACTCTCCATTAACTCTTATCCCTTCTAGGCATCTGAAAGTGTTCCCATTCTAGGCATCTGAAAACCCCCTGTAAGCACGCCGTCAATAGCATTGGGGAGATTGCATGGTCCTGCCTTACACCCTTCTTGATTGGTATTCTGTGACTTTTTTTATGAAGCACTATGGTAGCAGTTAATCCCCTGTAGATTCCTTCCAGAATGTTCATATATACTTCATCGACGCCCTGATTCCGCAGTGTCTGCATGACGGCTGATATTTCTACTGAATCAAACGCCTTGTCGTAACTTATGAAGGCTATGTCAAGTGGTTGGCTATATTCTGAGCATTTCTCTGTTACCTGATTGATAGTATGAATGTGGTCCATTGTTGAGTAGCCTATTTTAAATCCTGCTTGTTCCTTTAGTTGATTGAATTCTACTGTTTTCTTAACTCTGTTAGCAATTGCTCTTGTTAATAGCTTGTATACTACGGAGAGCAAGCTGATCGGCCTGCAATTCTTCAAGTCCTCGTCATCTCCTTTCCTGTGTATTAAGATGATGACATGGCATAGGGAGCAAAGAATGACCTTTTAAGGGGCTGCCAATCCCAAAATCAATATGGTGCCCTCCCCCTCCCCGCCCCCGAAAAAATTTCTGGCTACGCGCCTGGGTTCGCCCTACTCATCATCATTCACTCCGTGGATATGCTGTGATTTTTTTCAAACTCTGGCTGAAAATAGCTGAGGCACCATGTATGAGCAAAAAGAAAAATAAAGGAGAAGAAAAAGATATGCAGATCCCACATATAGTAGGGACTGATGATATGAAGCGCGATTGATGAAGGTTGATTCATCACTTTAAAATCAGCTTGTGTGAGACACCATCACGTGACTGGAGGTGACTCCATGCTCCGCATATTAAAAGAAATCTCCACGAGCGTGGCGCCTCTTTGATCCATGGGTTCTGGATCATCGACACTTGCTACACGTTGCTCGAATAGAAACTACTGTGGCAGTTGTTGGTTCACGCCAAGGAGAATGATAACTTCAACTATACTCTGTTTCAGAAAGTCCCTTAGCACTGAGGAGGCTACAGGCCCCTCAGCCAATAGGAAGGACGCTTAGCCCCTCCACATCTATTCATTCGCGCCATGTCGTCTGCTCAACGTATTGTAGATATTATGGTCAGTTTATTAAATTAATATGCAGTAAAGCTATTAAACAAACAACTACACCAGGAACTTGAAGATGCGTGAATTTGGTGTTCTGCTGAAGATCAGTAGAATATCATGCCAGCGAATAACTTGACTTGGTTGCTGTGTCTCTCCCACGCTGTTTGTGGTTCTCGCGTGACAGTTTCTCCGTCAATGCGTTTCTTCGCGTCTCCCGCTGCGACGCTTCTTTTCTCTCTTTTTGTTTCCACCGACGTGCACGGAATGCTGCGCGAGGTTGCATGTCCGATATTTGGAGAGGCATCGTTCTTGGTCTGGCAACACAGTCCGAACACTGCCTCGGCGAGTTAGGCTTAGCAGGTGAGGCTAAGCAAGCGGCATATCCTGCTAATAATACAAAAACATACCTGCTGCTGCTTTAGTGCCAGAATTAGATGAAACAAATCGATGGCTGATTTCACCATTTGTTTACTGCTGTCAGTACAGTGGGCGTGTAGCAAGCCCGGATCGAAGTGGCCATGAAGTCAATTCTACATGGGTGCTGCCATGTTGATTTCTAAAACACAGCGGCGGTAACCATCACAAACATTGAAATGCGTAAGAAATAAGTGTGAAAAAGAATAAACATATCATGTATTGATGTGGAGCAAAATACACCAAAGAAACGCCTATTCTAGCCAACCCTGTTAATTTTAGGACCCTTAATGTTGGACTACGTTTCGCTGCGCAAGCGTGGGGCTTTCTTACAACTTGTAGCTTTAGAAGTGCCGAACCAACGCCTCTTCTAGAAAGATGCCTGAGGAATGGCTCGCACTCCCAGCGTAGTTGGCCTGCCTTCAGTTTTGAGCAAGCGCAGCGCGGTGGCGCTCGTGACCGACACTATCATCACGTATCAAGCTAAGTTTTGGAAGAGCATTGAAAGTGGGAAGGAGACAAGATGAGAAACTACAGGAAAATTGTTATTCAGAAAGGCGAATTGAAATAGCCACTAAAGAAATTGAGAAAGTAATCACTGAGGATAATAAAACTGTGTGGACGTACACAAATCTAATTAAACTGTTTGGGCTAGAGCTTGCTAAGACACGTGAGAAGTCACCCCGGAAAAGAAGACACAAACCCAAAAGTTTGTGGGATGAGGAAGTTAAGACAGCCATAGCAAAATCTCAGGAACCCTCTAGGGAACACAGGCATGCTAAGCAGTGGGGTGAACCGACAGATGATGTTGAAAGAAAATGAGAAACCTTTCTAAGCTGTAGAAGAGATACATCCCTTCTGATCAATGAAAAGATTAGAAGAAAGGGAGCTCAGTGGCTGGCAGAAGTACATAAAAAAGATAGAAAGGCAGCTGCGAAGTTTTGGAACTATCTAAACTCCCTAAAAATGAGACGAGCAGAGTTTTTATAACTGTAGTTTTATAACTACAGCCCAAGGTGCTAGGCTAGAAGGGGACGAAGCTATTGGATATTAAGAACAAGGTTGACAGAAAAAAAGTTCAACAAACAAGCGCTTTATGCACCACAATAGACAAGGATGAATCAAGGGGCGCAATGGCTCCATTTTCACAAGAGTGGGAAAGAGCTGAGAAAAGGGTTGCTAGTAGTACATCAACAGGCCCAGATGGCATTCCAATTATGCTGATAAAGACATTGGGTCCCGAAGTCTAAGCAGGCTTTGAGAGAGGCAGTGAGCAAAATAATAATCGATGGTGAAGTTCCCGATGGATGGAAACTTAGCAGGATGAGCATGATCTATAAAGGAAAGGGGGACAAAGCAGACATAAACAACTACCGTCCTATAACCGTGGCATCAGTGGTCTACAGGCTGGCGATGCAGATTATAATGGAATGACTGCAGGCATGGATAGAGGATGAGGGGGTGCTGGGGGAACTGCAGAATGGGTTTCGGAAACACAGGAGGTTGGAAGACAATCTGTTCTCACTGACGCAGTGCATCTAAATAGCAGAAAAGGAACACAGGCTCCTTTGGCTAGCATTTTTGGATATCAAGGGAGCATACAATAGCGTGGTTCAAGAGGAATTGTGGTGAATAGTGGGCACACTAGGCGTGGAAGATGCAGTCAGTAATCTTTTAAAGGATATCTATAAAGGTAACAAGGTAGTTATAACGTGGGAAAAAACAGGTATCCAAGCCTGCAGAGGTAAAACGGGGGCTTAGGCAGGGGTGTCCCCTGTCACCCTTATTATTCATGATGTACCTACAAGGATTATTCATGATGTACCTAAAAGTATTAGAGGTCAAATTAGGGGGAAGTGGACTGGGCTTCAACCTCTCTTTCGTCAAACAAGGAAAACTCATTGAACAGGCACTACCAGCATTGATGTACGCAGATGATATAGTGCTAATGGCCGACAAGGAAGATTTGAAGAACTGGTGGACATCTGGGGTAATGAGGGAGATAGGTTAGATTTCAGATTCAGTAAGGAAAAATCAGCAGTCATGATTTTTAATGATAATGAAGCGAGTGAGCTTAGAATACAGGAGGTCACGCTGGAGATAACAGATAAATACAAATATCTGGGCGTAGGGATAAAGAATGGGACCAAGTTTCTAAGGGAACACGAAATATACGTATACATGCAAGGACTAAACGTAACAGGAATGCAGCGGTCATGAAAAATAGGGCACTGTGGAATTACAATAGGTATGATGTTGTGAGTGGAATATGGAAAGGGGTCATTGTTCCTGGTCTGACTTTCGGCAATGCGGTCTTGTGCATGAGATCAGAAGTTCAAGCAAGATTATAAATTAAGCAACGTGGAATAGGTAGGCTTGCCTAAGAAGCTCACGGGAATACACCAAATCAGGGAGTACAAGGTGATATGGGATGGACATCATTTGAGGGCAGGGAAGATAGCAGCAAGAAAAAATTTGAGAAGCGATTGAGAGAAATGGGGGAGGAGCGTTGGGCTAGGAATGTATTCAGCTACTTGTACATGAAGAATGTCGATACAGAATGGAGGAAGCGAACCAGGAAATTGACTGGTAAATACTTAGAAAACAGCAGGAGGCCAAACCAAAAAGAATTATTGGTTAAGAAGGTGAAGGAAGCTGAGACCAATATGTGGAAAATTGGCATGATTAAGAAGTCCACACTAGAGATATATCGAACTTTTAAGCAGGAAATTGCCAAGAAAAGGATCTATGACAATACTCGGGGTAGTTCCCTACTGTTTGAGGCCAGGACGAGAGTATTACGAACCAAGACATATCGGGCCAAATACAAAGGGGTAGACACAGTATGTAGTGCGTGTGGAGAGGGAGAAGAAGCTGCCGAACACTTGATAATGTTCTGTAAAGGGCTTCACCCTACACTTCAGGATGATGGCGCACAGTTTTTCAAAGCCCTGGGGTTAAGGGACGGGGAGGGCAAAATAGACTTTAAGCGGGTAGAATTAACTAGAAGGAGGTTATCTGATTGGTGGCCAAAGTCAAAGCACGAGTGAAAATTAAACCCTTCACTACAAAGTACGAATCCTCAACCTCACCATTTAAAGGAAAAAAAATAAATCTAGTTTTTGGTTCCTTAAGTATTACGGCTTGGTGGCGCTAGCCACCGCCCGATCTAAAGGGCACAGCCATATCCATCCATCCATCCATCCATCCATCCATCCATCCATCTATCATCACGGCGGTGGGCGGTACCAGCTAAACGTTTTTCACCTGCGGTCCATAGGAGCGCGTCAGTCGAGAGTTGCTCGAGACCTGCAACTGTACACCACTGTTTCGGAGGCTATGCAAAGTGTTGCGTTGTTGCACCGTCCGCCGCAGGTGACGCTAGTGACCGACAACATTCTAAAATTAAGGAGGGAAAGTGTGTGGCAGCTGTTTTACTTCTCATGTGGCAAGCACCTAAATACAGAGGGCGTTGGCCGAATCGAAGTGGTCAAACAGAGTATATAACGGTGGAAAAAACGGCTGAGTAGACCGACACCACAGGAAAGAGCGCACTGTCCTCTAATGTCAGTCGGCTCGGCTGTTTTTTTTTTCTGTTATGCGCTATACCAGTTCAAGTACATCGAACAAACCGCCCAATCTTTACCATTTGTAGATTATCACCCTCATGGATGTTCCTGTGTATACCTGTGCGTTATTTTTCGAGCGTCCCTATTTGTCCTCCACCAGCACGCTACAAGTATCCAGCTCCTTGCCGTCTTTAGCGTGTCAATTTCTCACAAACTTGGAAAGCGAAAACGACGAAGACTAAATACCACTTATGTTGGAGTATGCTGCGCCAAGATATTGAAGAACCAACCAAAAATCTCCAATTGCAATACACTACCGAAGAATTGCCGCTGTCTGATTGAATTGTATTGAATTAAGCTCTGATCAACCTATTGTGGATTTGATTTTCAATTTTGAGCGTACTGCGTCATTGTGTCTCGTGAATTATTGCTGAAACGCTGTGTGCTTTTGCAGTCATCCGAATCGTTCATGTACAGCGGCCTCATGACCCTGGACATGCTGGTGTTCGGCGTCATGGCCTGCTTCTACAAATACATCGAGCCAGCCTCTGTGCATCCATGTACAGAAAAGGCCCCACCGGTTTCGGAAGGCGACACGAAGATGTAACCTTGTACAGAATATGAATAAATTTTTTACTTTTGCAATGCGTTCTTCTGTGACAGAACCTCCAATTAGGAAGATAATTATTAGGAAAATGAATACAAAATATTTCGCAGTCGTTATCTACTCCTCAAAATTAGTAAACAAAAAATTACAACGAGCATAATTCCGAAAAAGGCTGGGCGGCATACTACCAATGTTATTTATTTATTTATTTATTTATTTGAATATTTTACCCTCAGGGCACATAAGAGGTTTAAAAAGACAGAGTAAGGTGGCTTATACAAAAATAAATTTTGCACCTGTTAACTACAACAAAGCTTTCAGCCGAGTTGGCAACTCTGAGCTACAGCTATGTGTTATATAAACGGGCATTCCAGAACCTCCAATGAAATCTTAATCTTTTCATTGAACAAGCAGTGCTTGCGCATACTCGCACATACCTCCATGAGTCTTTGACGTGATGTTTTGTACTTGGCAAGGCGTAAGCGCACAGTTTTCCGGTTCTTTCTCCGTCACAGTGGCATAATTAAAATAACGCCTGTCCATATCTGCTCACTCGGTCGACCATATAAACCTATAGCGTAATCTTCATGAATATACATATTCATCACTTCCTTCCATGGTGTAAGAATAATCAGGTGTTGACACTGAGTGCGTCTGAGCAGCCAGATAATGTTCAGTCTCGCGAGCGCGCTGTGCTGCGAGCTGTCAGATGGCGCCGCGGCCAACGCATCCAGAAAATGGGAAGGAGGTGTAATGAGCAACCACATGGTAATATTCATTCAAAAAGCCAAATATAAATAACAATTAAACATATTAAGAAAGTAATCACCGAGGACACCAAAACAGAGTGAACGTACACAAATCAAACTCGATTGTGTGAGTCACAGCTTGCTAAGATTGGAGTAAAATCAACCGGAAAAAGGAGACGCAACCCCGAGAGCTGGTGGGATGAGAAAGATAAGGGAGTCATAGTAAAACGTCAGGAAGCCTCCAGGGAAGACAGTTATGCTAAACAGAAGGGTGAACCGGAATATGATGCCAAAGAAAAACTGGATAACTTTTTGAGCTGCAGAAGGGAAGCGTCCGATTTGATCAGCGAAAAGATTTGAAGAAAGGGAGCCCAACGGATGGCGGAAATAAAAAAAAGGATAGAAAGGCAGCTGCAAAGATTTGGAACCCTCTCAATTCTCTGAGTAATAAGACAAGCATGAAACAGAGGTTTATAACTGCAGTTCAAAGGGTCAGGCTAGAATGGGATGAGGCAATGGAATATATAAAGACAATGATGACAGAAAAATTTAGGCACCAAGAAAGCGCCACATACACCATACCAGATGAGGATGGACCGGTTAGCACAGTTGCTCCACTGGGACAATGAGAGTAAGAAAGGGCAGAGAACAGGGTTCCTAATTGCACATGAACAGGTCCTGACGGCATCCTAATTAGGTTCTTAAAGAAACAAGGGCCAAACTCTAAGCAAACATTAAGAGACGCAGCGAGCAAAGCAAAAATAGAGGGCGAAGCCCCCAATGGTTGGAAACTCAGCAGGATGAGCCCGATCTATAAAGTACAGGGGACAACGCTAATATAAACAACTACCATCCTATAACAGTGACATCAGCAGTTTACAGGCTGGTGATGCACATTATAAAGGGAAGACTGCAGGCATGAATAGAGGATGACGGGCTGTTGAGAGAACTGCACAATTGGTCTCATAAACGAAGGAGGTTTGAGGACAATCCGTTTTAATTGGTGCAGTGTATTGAAATAGCGGAAAAATAACAGAGGCCCCTGTGGCTGGCATTTCTAGATATCAAGAGAGGTTACGATAGTGTGATTAAAGAAGACTTGTTGGGAATACTGGACACACTAGATGAGGAAGATGGAATAACTAATCTTCAAAGAACATCTATAAAATTAACAACGTAGTTATAAAATGGGGAAAACAAGTATCCAAACCTATAGAGATACAACGCGGGCTTCGACAGGGATGTCCCTTGTCACCTTTGTTATTTTTGCTGTATCTACAGAAACAGAAGCCAAATTATGCGGGAGTCGACTCGGCTTCAGCCTCTCTTTCGCCTAGCAACGAAAGCGCGTGGAACAGTCATTACCAGAATTGATGTATGCAGATGAAATAGTATTGATAGCCGACAACAAGGAAGATCTGCGGTGATGAGAGAGAAAAATTAAATCCGAAGTTCAGTAGGGAAAAATTGGCAATCATGATTTTCAATGATAGCGAGGGCAGTGAGCAAAACTAATAGGAGGTCACGCTAGAAATAGTGGATAAATACAAATATTACGGCGTATGGCTAAAAAACGGGGCTGAGTACCTAAGGGAGCACGAAAGATACGTAATAACTAAGGGTAACAGGAATGCAGCTGGAATGAAAAATAGGGCACTATGGAACTATGGACGTTGTGAGAGGGATTTGGAAAAGTGCCATGGTCACAGGTTTGACGTTCAGCAATGCATTCTTGGGCTTGAAATTTGAGGTGCAAGCAAGATTGAAAATTAAACAACGTGCGATAGGCAGACTTCCTTTGGGAGCACACGGGAACACCCCAAAGCAGGGGGTACAGTGTGGGATGGGATGAACATCATTCGAGTGCAGGGTGTTACGTTTGGCCGAGACGGGCTCCGAGCCGAGAGAGAAAGACACTGAGAAATACCGGCTGAGGCGGCTGCATTTTCGAGTGAAGCGAAAATGCTGAGGCCCGTGTGCTCAGATTTAAGTGCACGCTAAATAACGCCACGTGTTCAAAGTTCCGGAGCCCTCCACTACGGCGTCTCTCATAATCATATGGTGGTTTGGGACGCTAAACCCCACATATCAATCAAATACGCTAAGAAGGGAGAACTTAAGTTTGAATGCGGCATACTTGTCGTAAGGAGGTGTACAAAAGATTGACCCACGGCATGGTGCGTAGTCGATTATAAAGGCACACCATAAACGAAGGGGGTGGGAAGGCACGTCAAGGCACATGGCGATCACAGGTTATCATCCGGAGCAGAGGAGCCAGACTTTCGTGCTGGCTGATAAGCGGCGAGCGGTGAGTAACACAACGGCCCCTCCCCATGGAAGAGCACCAAGGGGGAAAGAAACGTCTGCACACGAACTGGTCAATTTTTGTTTCGCAAAGTTCTTCGAAGTTTTCGGTGTAGTGGCACTTTTGGGGAGTTTCACCAGTTCAGCTGCCTGCGCTCCTGACGGGTAGCTTCGAGGTGCACACAAGCGTCGAAGTACTTGGTGACCCACGGCTGGAAGAATCCAGCGACGTGGCCTCAGACCCTCCGAGGTCAGATGGTGCAGCGGTTGGTGTCCAAGTCGAAGAGTGCGTCCCTTAGGATCGTGCACAGGGTCCGGAAGTCTCGTAGGCCGATGTGTCGAAACGTAGAGTGCCTGGCGTGGCAGAAAACTACCAGGCGTCGCCAATTTCAAGAGTCCCGGGTCAGGGTCCTGGGCATAGGCAAAACAGCAAGCACCCCCGCGAAAGCCAGAAACAATGCCTAGCTCGGCCAGGCCAGATTCATACGTAGAGTGTTTTGGAAACTTTCCAATTGGAAACGAAATTGACTATCTGGAACCTGTGACAGTTACAGCTACATATGAATTCTCAATCAAGGCTTTAGTGCCACTATGCCAACCGGCGCAGAGAGAGAGAGAGAGAGAGAGAGAGAGAGAGAAAAAGCCGTGCTCAGGCCGTCTGCATTTGCGTGCAGCGATTCTTCATGTTTAACCGTAAACGATACGGCTGAAAACTGAGGCTTCAACATAAAACCTACCGTTTTCTTTGGACACCTGTTGAAGCCACGTGAGTGGGTGATGATCCGTGATGTGAATGAATTCAGAACCACCGAAATAACAGGAAAGTTTTTCTACAGCCGAAACGAGACACGCTCATTCTTTTTCTATGATGCTGTAAGCGTGTTCGCGAGCAGACAACTTTCGGCTTAAGTACAAAATGGGATGCTCATGAACGTGCTCGTCTTCCTGACTCAAAACTACACCCGCTCCTTTTTCGTTGCGTCACACTGCACAAGAAACGGTTATGAGTTTTGTGGGCTTGCCATTACGGGCTTGGCGGTGAGACCTTCAAAGAATTAGACGCAGCTTGTTTTTCTTCGTCCCATTTTACGCGATTAGCAGCGTGCTTTTTTTAGTGCGTCCGTAAGGGGGCTGGCTATCTGAGAGAAACACTTGATATAGTGTTGGTAGTAGCCTAGCTACCATACCCAAGAAAGTAAGGAGCTCCGTTTTCGTTTCTGAGGGAAGTCCTTGATTGGCATAACCTTTAAATCCTTTAAATCAAGGGGCTTTGATACCCTTGACCCAAACTGTGACCTAGGTAGTCGACTTCCGGGTGACCTAATTTGTACTACTGTGCTTTCAAAGTTAGGCCTACTTAGAACCTCCCGCAGATGATTCACGTGCTCTGGCCAAGTAGTCGAGAATACTGCGATGTCGTCCAGATACGGTAGTGCGTACGCCTCTGCTCCGGTTAGCACCTGATCCAACACTCTCGAAAAGGCGAAGGGGGCGTTTTTAAGACAGAATGGGAGAACTAAAGGCCGGAAGGTGCCTAAAAAAGTCACGAAAACAGCCAATTTGCTTAAACGATCTGTAAGCCGCACTTGCCAGTACCCTGGCACTAAATCAAGCGTAGAGATTAACTTCGCTTTGCTCACCTTTGAAGACAGTCTTCTACGTGCCGTAAGGAATACACTTTGGTCACAGTCAAAAAGTTGAGTTTACGGTAATCGATGCACGGCCACGGCTATTTACCGTTAGTTTCTACAATTATCATTGGAGACATGAAGGTTCCGTCACTTCGTTCGGCCAGTTTAAGCACCACTATCTGATCGACTGCTTTTCTCATGAATCTTTTGTGGCGTGCTGAATATCTGTAAGCTTTACATCACCTGCTGCTTTGCAACGTTGGTTGGTGGGCTTCAACTCTAAGCTCTATATCATGAGTCGTCAGAGTGGTCCAACCGGGAACCTTTGAAAATCCTTGTCGGTGCTCTGCTGTC